GCAGCATTGGGGATGGCAGGAGGCGGGGTCACCAAAGAGGCCTCAGCAGCCAACAGACCCCTGCAGCCATGGCAGACCGTAGCGATGGGAGCAAGTCGAAGTTTTCCAAGCCGTTGACCATCAAATCCAACAGAGTCGTCGTCAGCAATGAGCGGTCCATCAGAAATATGTCAAGTGCCACCTCCAGCATTCTGCACCTGCAACAGGCACCAAGAAGTGCACGGGATTGGGCTGCGACAAACAGTTCCAAATTAAAAGACACCATCATTATTAAAACACTGAAAATAATCCCAAAGATCACATGTCCAGATAAAGCTAAGTGTTTAAAGGATCCTGGACGAGCCCCCATATGTTACAACCCAGGGGTCTAGGGGACCTGGGGTAACATGGAGGACACGTGACACAGGCAAAACCAGTATAAAAACAAAGATTTATTTAACAAAACTTGCTTCTGACATCAGGCTTAAACTTTAACTGAAACAGACTGCTGGACATGGAGAGCATCTGGACCATGCAGTTGTGTCAGGGAGGGGGATAAAAGCTGCAGCAGCCACAGAGTCATACTGACTTGAGCGTGTTGCTAAACTGGAGTTAAATCATCTCTGTCTGGAAGTTGGTCGGTGTGCTTTCTAAGTCAGCAGCAAACAAATTCCTGAGCTGTTAAAATCCATTTCTGGGCTTCAAAGTCGGCTAATTGCTGAGTAAACCCGGCGCTGAGTAAGAGGAGTATTTTCAGTTTGTCCGAGGCAGAAGAGGTAACGCTGCAGATGCTGATGCTAGTCGCATGGACACGAATGACTGTAAAGACATACTAGTTTTTCTCCTCTTTGAAGCATCAACATGTTCCATCTTTGTTGAAACACCCTTCTTTGTGCATCAATCTTTCACTTCCTGGACATATTGGGATGATGTGTGGACAGTTATTTTCTCTTGTTGCATAAATTAAACATGGAAGTGGATACACTGCGACCTAGTGGCGAGTCACTGCACTGGAAACACAATCGCCATGCATTATGGAAAATGTAGTTTATAGTAAACATGCGCTTTGAAGCGGCATTGACTAATTTTAAGGCTCTTGAATCTCTTGCGGGCCACATAAAATGATGTGGCGGGCCACATCTGGCCCGCGGGCCTTGTATCTGACACATGTGCCTTAGAACCTAGAACTGGTCCAGTAGCTTATTTATCCTTGCTAATAGCACAGGTGCTACACTGAGGTGTTGAACACCTCCTTAGACAAGGTGGGAGACCCAGAAGTCTTCGTGTGGCCAGAAAGGATAAACCTAGAGACTCAAAGACAGCAGAGCCTGTAGCAGAAATGGAACAGTCAGAGGCAGCAGGCCGTAATGCTGACATCATGATCAACAAAACACTGGAAACACTTTCACACACCTCAGAGGAGCTCTCCAAGGGTGAGAATGGTTTGAAACAAAACATGATGATTGTGACAGTATGAGGCATCATCATCAGAGCAGAGGAGCTGGAGGAGGTGGTTAGAGAGAGGATGGTCTGCTGCCCCCACCACCTCGACACACACAAGAGTAAAATGTTTCAGAGCTAACGTGATCCGGGTCAGAGTCACAGAATAAAAATCCTAAAGCACAAAACAGAGTTGATGATGAGATGAATGACAGAAGATCAAAGAGAGATATGGAGCTAGTTGGTGTACAAGCCCCAGTGCACGCCAGGCTTGTGTGTGTCTCTTTCTGCGAATGAAATAAAAGCTGCTCTTGTTTGGCAGTGAAAAAAGGCTAATAGGGCTGACCCACCGCTCACCCCACTGCAGCAGAACCAGAAAGAAAAACAGCAGAGAGGAACTGGTATTCTTCTTGTGCACGAACGAGAAGGGTGAACGAGGGAACGAGGCAGCACTGGGTGGCAGATTAGTGCAGGTTGTGTCCCTCTGAAGAATGGAGGAGGAGGAGGAGGAGGAGGAGACTCAACAGAGCAGCTGATGAGAACAACACGGTACAGTCCGAGTCTGTTTATTCTCTTCACCAGAGTGCTTCCATTAGTTCTCTAATTAAAAGTCTTCATTTACATTCAAAGATGTTCTTGTTGCACTAAAGTTCCTGCATGTATTCTTCTTTTATGTCCCAATTGGATGTTTGTATTGGACATATAACTGAACTAGGGATGCTCGATACTGGCGTAGGTAACAATTTGTAAGTGGTTACTTTTAACAAATTGTCTATAGAATATAAAGGTGTTCAATAAAATGTAATACTCTATAAAAATATGGATAATCAATATTATTGACCCGTTATTATTCGATTGATGATGAAACTAGGTAGTTTGGGTATGCCAGGGAAACACCACTTTATAATAATTTGACACAGAGACAAAAATATACAGGTGCTGGCCAGTAAATTAGAATATCATCAAAAGGTTGAAAATATTTCAGTAATTCCATTCAAAACGTGAAACTTGTACATTATATTCATGCAATGCACACAGACCAATGTATTTCCAATGTTTATTACGTTTAATTTTGATATTTATAGGTGACAACCAATGAAAACATCAAATCTGGTATCTCAGAAAATTAGAATATTCTAAAGGCCAATGAAAAAATGTTTGTTTCTCTAATGTTGGCCAACTGAAAAGAATGAACATGAAAAGAATGTGCATGTATAGCACTCAATACTTAGTCGGGGCTCCTTTTGCCTCAATAACTGCAGTAATGCGGCGTGGCATGGACTCGATCAGTCTGTGGCACTGCTCAGGTGTTATGAGAGCCCAGGTTGCTCTGATAGTCGTCTTCAGCTCCTCTGCATTGTTGGGTCTAGCGTATTGCATCCTCCGCTTCACAATACCCCATAGATTTTCTATGGGGTTAAGGTCAGGCGAGTTTGCTGGCCAATCAAGGACAGGGATACCATGGTCCTTGAACCAGGTGCTGGTGGTTTTGGCACTGTGTGCAGGTGCCAAGTCCTGTTGAAAGGTGAAGTCTGCATCCCCATAAAGTTGGTCAGCAGCAGGAAGCATGAAGTGCTCTAAAACTTCCTGGTAGACGGCTGCATTGACCCTGGACCTCAGGAAACAGAGTGGGCCAACACCGGCAGATGACATGGCACCCCACACCATCACTGACGGTGGAAACTTTACACTGGACCTCATGCAACGTGGATTCTGTGCTTCTCCGCTCTTCCTCCAGACTCTGGGTCCTTGATTTCCAAAGGAAATGCAGAACTTGCTTTCATCAGAAAACATAACTTTGGACCACTCAGCATCAGTCCAGTCCTTTTTGTCCTTGGCCCAGGCGAGACGCTTCTTGCGCTGTTTCATGTTCAAGAGTGGCTTGACACACGGAATGCGACACCTGAATCCCATGTCTTTCATGAGTCTCCTCGTGGTGGTTCTTGAAGCACTGACTCCAGCTGCAGTCCACTCTTTGTGGATCTCCCCCACATTTTTGAATGGGTTTGTCGTCACAATTCTCTGCAGGGTGCGGTTATCCCTAGAGCTTGTACACTTTTTTCTACCACATTTTTTCCGTCCCTTCGCCTGTCTGTTAATGTGCTTGGACACAGAGCTCTGCGAACAGCCAGCTTCTTTAGCAATCACCTTTTGTGTCTTGCCCTCCTTGTGCATGGTGTCAATGATTGTCTTTTGGACAGCTGTTAAGTCAGAAGTCTTCCCCATGATTGTGGTGCCTTCAAAACAAGACTGAGGGACCTTTTAAAGGCCTTTGCAGGTGTTTTGAGTAAATCAGCTGATTAGAGTGGCAGCAGGTGTCTTCTATATTCAGCCTTTTCAGAATATTCTAATTTTTTGAGATACCAAATTTGGAGTTTTCATTAGTTGTCACTTATGAATATCAAACTTAAATGTAATGAACATTGGAAATACATTGGTCTGTGTGCATTGCATGAATATAATGTACAAGTTTCACGTTTTGAATGGAATTACTGAAATATTTTCAACCTTTTGATGATATTCTAATTTACTGGCCAGCACCTGTAGTTTATAAAATAAATTTTATTACTATACTACTATGATGATGCAAAATGAGTTAAATTGATATCAACTGAGACACTGAATGAGCAATGGGCTCAAATGTTATATTAAAAACCCAAATAAGTGTCTTATAAAATTGTGATTTCTGGGCTGGGAAGGAATTTATTGATGCTACCTTCTGGTGCAAGGTTATGGACAGCCTATGTCTTGAGGTGAAAAGCACACAGCTAACCCTTGTCACACTGATGAAGCAGGCTGTGGACAAATGAATGTCTAGTGACCTCTGACATTACATGGCCTTCTCCAACGCTACATGGCTAAATTAATTACTGCTGACTGTTGGGCACCGGGAGTTGAGTCAGCATCAGCACATGGCAAAACAAGACGAAAAGCAGTTCCTTTAACCACTGCACTACCAAGGCCAATAAAAAAAGCAGCCTTGCTTAAGACACTCTTGTATGTGCGTTTTGTTGAGCAGGTGTGGGCAGAGCTTTGCTGAAACAGAACGTTTCAGTTCAGCGATGCACAGCTATACCTTTGTTCTCACAAGAGGGACATTTGCTGCTGTGGTGGTGAGGATTAGCTACATTTGTTAAATGACCAATAAGACTTGATATTAGGGCAGCTTGATTATGGCAAAAAGGATAATCTCGATTACTGACTGAAATTGAGATCTTGATTATTTAAGATGATTTTTCAATTAATGTTGATTTTATTTATTTTTATTGGGTCGTAAAATTGCTCAGGGCACAATCAGGATAAAAATAAATAAGAAAAAGAAAGAAACAAGATCAACACAAAAATAACTCCCGATTCCTAGTATTAAAAAGACCGTTATACTTGCTCATAGTTAATGACCCAAGGGCTATAGACCTTGTTGTAAGTCATTTAAGCCTAACCAGTACAGACCCAAATACCAATATCTTGCAAATACTGACAGCAAGAATTATACAGTGGCATTTAAAACGTAAATAAAAAACATATAATCATAAATGTTTAGTGACGTTCACAAAATGTTGCATAACATTTATTTAGTCCTGTCAAGGTGCTGTAGGAGAGTGCACCAGCAATGTGTCCTCAGTCTCAGACACATTAATTATTATTTATCAGGATGATGAACTTATTTATATCTATTTCTACCTTATTTTAAGCTATTTATTTACAGGTCCTGTCAGTTAATGTAATAATTGTCCCAACCACAGCGATCGGAGGTGTGCTGCAACCCCCCACCCCCCAACCCAGTTCCACTGCAATCAGGGACAAGCTGCATGTGTGTGTTTAGCGCGCCGCACATGCACATTTTACTGCTTTTAGCAGCTCAGAAACCTGCAGGTACAGTGTGTGTCACTCGCTCTGGTTAATCTAAGAGGGAGCCCGCTCTGAGAGCCGTTTTCTATTATTTATTTATTTCAGCGATCATCACATTACTACATCATTCCCTTTCCTAATGTCCTGAAGGACGGTCCAGAGCGCAGGCGGTGTTTTGTTAACCGCAGGAAATGTCGACGACAGTTATCCAGAAAGTAGCTAAGGGTTACCAAAAATGTTTCTGGGGTGTTCGCTAGGCACTTTTAAGATCTAAAAAGTCAAGAAGGGGTCTAAAAAGCTGTTGGAAATAGCAACAAAGTCGCTAAATTGGCAACACTGTGGGAGGAGCGCTTGATTTGCAACTCAGGGCAGCGCAGGAGGGAGGAGCAAATGATCAGCTTTTTTTATAGTTCTAAATTCAGATCATAATTGGGATTAAAATTCAATTAATTGAGCAGCCCTATGTGATATTCCATATAAATATGAATTATCAAGCTGATTTGTCTTTGAATAACTAATAAGAGCTTTCTTGATGAAAAAAAAAAATCAAGAAAGCTCACCAAAATTGCAGATACTCTAACTGGGCCTTTGTGCAAAGGCACCACCATCCCATACATGGCAGGAGTCTCAGAAAAACTTTGAAGAATCTTCTCCAAACACAACATCCCGGTAAACTTTAAACCCAACAACACCCTCAGACAGAAATTGGTCCATCCAAAAGACAAAACACCCAAACAGAAGCTCAGTGGCATCGTTTATGCAGTCCAATGTACTCAGCTGTTTCTGAATCACATCTCGCCCTCAACGCACCCACTTTCTGCCATAAATGGTCAATCCAAAGTGCCTTGTGGTTCTCATGCATATATATAAGCCGGCTCATAGCAGCGCTCCACCATTAACGATGGCGACCGCGGATCAAGGAAGCGCCATTTCACGAGCAGAAATTGAGGTACTTGTGGGTGAGGTGGAGATATGAAAGGAAGTGTCACGGTCCGTGGTGAGCCTCCTGCATGTAATCTGTTTGTTCTGAGTATTGTTGCAGGTGGGTGTGTCTGAGAGCCACCAGCTGCAGCTGATCCCGTCATCAAGGCCCAGGGGATTTAAGGAGCAGTGTGACACTTCACCACGCTGGATGATTGCTCAGCTTTGGGTAGCGCTAGCCTCTGACCCGTTTTTGATCCTGTGTTTTTCCTAGTTCCTGTTGTTACCAAGATTTTTGAGAATTATATGCTGGATTTCCTGTCAACCAGAAAAGACCCTGACTTCTCTTTCCTGCTCTGCTCCAGGTTTCACTCCACACTCCACCATCTCAATACCAGCTCGGATTCCTGCACTTCATCTTACGCTGTCTCCTCCCCTGGCCGCCCGCTCTCAGCCGCTCGCCTGCACCCACCAAGCCTCTGCTCCTACCTCCTCTCATATTCGACAGTTCCTCCTCCTTCTGGAGCCTTCCTGCTCACCCGGACCTGACCTAGCCCTTCCAGAGGCTCTCACCGCTATCTACATCAGTAAGCTCTCCTCCTCAGATTATCCTCCATCCTTCCCTCCATATACTCACTCTTTCTCCCTCCTCAGAATCCTCTCCTGGAGCCTTGCTGCCAGCCTGCACGTCACCTGTTCCCGTTCCTCTCATTTAATAATAAAGAACGTTTTACTTACTTGCCGATTTCTTGTGATGATTCTGCATGTCGTGGGTCAAGAAACTCTCACCCGCCATGACAGGAAGTGCTTTTGCAAAAAAAAATAAAATAAACAAGAAAAAATCCACGGAGTGGCTGTCATGTTCTGCGGGTGGAGGTGGCAGACCATGTGTGGTGGTGGGTTCCAGGAGGTAGAAGAGCAGGCAGACGGATGTAAAAAATAAAAATATGTTTATTGTAGGACGGGAGCAACAGGACAAACGAACATGCACAAGCAACAATGAACCGACAAAGACAGCAACAAGGAGGGAAGTATAAATACACAAGGGAATTAGGAACACGTGGGCAGAGTAATCAGGGACAGGTGAGAACAATTAGGCTAATCAGGGCAGGAGAGACACAGTCAGGGAGGCTGGGGCGGATCATGACAGTAACAACCCCCCCCCCCCCCCCCCTTAAGGGGCGGATACCAGACGCCCACAAGCCACAGAGCACAGGAGACACAGGGACGAACAGAAGACCAGACTAGGGCACACAAGACCAGGGAACACGGAAGACGAGACCAGGGAACAAACACAGTCCAGGGCTGCGGAGCAGGGGCCTCTAAGAGTAGGCGGCACTCCATCTTACGACCAACAGACGTGTCCACGAATTTAGACCAGGGAAACTCGGACTCGAACACTTGGCACTGGGACTCGTAGACTTGACTGGGACACGTAGACTTGACTTGACAGACACGTAGACTTGACTTGACACGTAGACTTGACTTGACACGTAGACTTGACTTGACTTGACCCGTAGACTTGACTTGACTTGACACGAAGAACACTGAGACATACTGCATCAGCAGGCTTAGGCCCCAGCAGGAACTGCCGCGTGGAGAACCTGCAGGCACAGAACCTGCAGGCGTGGACCAGGAAATGGTTGAGCAGCGGGAGCGACGCGTGGAAGCCCAGCTCGGCGGCAGGTACTCAACATCCCAATCAGAGCAGGTGCACATCCCGATCTGCTGGGTCCATCGGCGGAGGCTCGGGTGAAGGGAAGCCAGAGAAGAGCGGGGAGACCAGCCCTACCACACCGGAGGATAATGGCGTGCGTAGGGGGTGTAGCTCCCTAGAGGCTCCAGGATCCACCGGAGAAGAGCGGGGAGACCAGCCCTACCACCCCGGAGAAAAATGGCGTGCGTAGGGGGTGTAGTTCCCTTGAGGCTCCAGGATCCGCGGCTTCCAGGAGACGAATGGGACGGGGCGAAACAGCAGGAGGAGAATGACCCTGGCCACCCCGAAGACAAATAGGATGCGCCAGGATCTCCCAGAAAAACTTCGACCACCCCAAGAACAGGTAGGATGCGCCGAAAACACAAACTCCAGGCCAGAAATCTCCCACAGCTGAAAGGGACAAAAAAAGAAAAAAATAATCCTCCAGGAGCAGATGTTAGCTCACCACAGGTCCAGGTTTGGTCGGTTCATTCTGTCATGTTCTGCGGGTGGAGGTGGCAGACCATGTGTGGTGGTGGGTTCCAGGAGGCAGAAGAGCAGGCAGACGGATGTAAAAAATAAAAAGATGTTTATTGTAGGACGGGAGCAACAGAACGAACGAACATGCACAAGCAACAATGAACCGACAAAGACAACAACAAGAAGGGAGGTATAAATACACAAGGGAATCAGGAACACATGGGCAAAGTAATCAGGGACAGGTGAGAACAATTAGGCTAATCAGGGCAGGAGAGACACAGTCAGGGAGGCTGGGGCGGATCATGACAGTGGCACAGCGCTGTGGAAGCCGTCAATGCTGTGAGTTATTCAGAGAGATCTGTGGCGGATATAAAAAAAATGGTCCAATCAGGATTTGATCCGTGTGCACACGAAGCAGTACAAGTGATAATGCTGCTGGAATTCATAATTGCGTCCTTCTCAGCAGCAGCGCTGCAGGTGCTCTCCATGTCCAAAATGTGCGTAAGCCAGGTCCTTAGTCAACTTAAATTTGCGCACATCTTTTTGCTATGTTTTCTTTTATAAATCCCAAAGTTTGCATGGAAAGTTGCTTACGCAGTTTTCGACCCCGCTTTTTCTGTATATTGGGGAAACTAAAAAACAATTACAGAAGTGCAGATCACAGCACAGGAGAGCACCTCTTCAGATCAAGATTCTGCAGTCCATCTAAACCTGAAGGACAAGGGAAACACTTTTGAAAATGACAAAGTACACATTCTATACAGAGGAGATAGATGGTTTGAGAGAGGAGTAAAATAAGCTATCTATGTCAAACATGAAAACCCTTTAAATGGGCGAGGGAGTCTTAGATTTCACCTTTCCAGCACCTATAATGCAGCTTTGAATCTCATTCCTAAACAGTTTCAGTCTAGGTCACACCTTCCTGCATCAATCAATCAATCAATCAATCAATCAATCAATCAATCAATCAATCAATCAATCAATCAATCAATCATCAATCAATCAATCAAAGCTTTATTATAAAGCGCCTTCCTCAACCCTGTCAGGAAGCCCAAAGCATCTAATCAACTTAACGACTCATCAGGGGATGGAGAGGCGGGGTACCCAGGGTAGTTTTGGCTCGTTAAATATCAACAGACAGCTACAGCTATAAGCTTGACTCTCAATCTTGACTCTCCAGTTGGAATTGACAAAGCTCCTCAAATGAGAAGCAAAACTTCTTCAAGAAACCAAAGAAGTCCAGTTGCCTTCATTTGAACCCTTTGGATAATATGCGTTTAAAAAAAAAAGTCATTTATGACAAGAAAGATAAGCATTATTCAGATTGTAAAAGTCTCATCTTCCGCATGAGACCTTGTGTTTCCAGCTAAGATAAGGGAGCTAGGAGAAGGACTTATTATGGCTCCCTGATTCGGTAACAAGGTTGTTAAGCAGTGCTTTTCTGGTTTGGAGACAAGACAGACATAATGTTGCACACCAGATCATCTTGTCGTATTAGCACCACAGTGTCAGATTGACCCGAATGAAGAAGTAGTTTGGGCTTACAAGTTAAGAGTTAACTTTTGTTAATTTTGATCAAATACTTGGCCTTTTGGTACGCTACACTGCTTTTAAACCTGCATTCAGTGGCATTGTGTTGTTTCTTGTTTCTTAGGTAGCACTTTTTTTTTCCTTCCTTCCTTTTTAAGTTTTCCTTTTCCATCAGCCATCACGCTGCGACAGGGAGACAGGCGCTGCTATTCATTCACGCTCCTTTATGGAGCCTTTGCAGTATTTGCTATTTGAAATGCTTTCTCAAATGTCAGCTCAGCTTTGACCAGCGGGCATCTCTGAATCCAGTCATCATTAATGTCGCACGCCGGGCAATCTTGTAATATCTGCTCCAGTGTGGTGCCAAAGTTACAATCATGAGAGAGCCTTCTGTACTCTGCTATCAGAATCAGAATCAGAATAGGTTTATTGCAATTGTCAGTCAACAAACAATTCACAAACTAGGAACTTGCTTCGGTACTAATGTGCTACATATAACATGAATAATAAGATTAAAAATAGAATAAAATAGAATAAAACTAGAATAAAACTTTCAGCTATAAAAAATGGCAGGTAATGGTAACATGGCCGATAACGTGACGTTGTGTTGAGTACAGAAGACCAGCATTGTTGTGTGTTTATAATCTATTCACAAGTCTAACGGCAGATGGAAAGAAGCTGTTCTTATGGCAGGAGGTTCTGGTCCGGATGGACCGTAACCTCCTGCCTGAGGGGAGCGGCTCAAAAAGACTGTGACCCGGGTGCGAAGGGTCACATGCCTACATGCCCTTATGGATCCAGTCAGCTAACAAACACTAGAGTCAAACTTATACTTCTGAACGATCTGACTCGGCTTATGATTCTAGTGCTCATTCATCATTTTTGTCCACTTAATGTATGTTTTGCTGCTGGGCTTGTCTGGGCAACTTATGCTTTTGATTAGCATGTAGGTAGTTGGTCCAACGACACTAATAAGGATAGCTCTCTGTTTATCCCCATCATCAATTTCGTAACAAAACACTGATTGAGAATCTTGCAGTACTCTTCCCACGTCTGTTTCTTTGAATTAAATGTAGAAAGTGTCTCCATCTGCATAGCCATGGTCAGTACTGTACCTTGTTAGCACCTCTCATTAGCACCACTTCAAAATGCTCACTGGCCCGTCTTCAACACCCACGTATTCCATCCAACAAAAATGAAGCTCTTCCAGTAGCCATCCAGTGTCCTTGTCGCCAATACGTCATATCTTTACTATTGCAAATAAAACCACTCAAAGCAGGTTGTGGAACTTTTCTGGTTTATAGCGAGAACATGCGGGGTTTTCATTTTGTCCAGCTCCTGGGCTGGCTATAGCATCGGTTCCTGCATCCTGATGGAGGGAGTGGTAATTCTCCAAACAATAACATGCACAGCATCCCTATATCACAAGTATGGTATGGTATGGTATGGTATGGTAAAGTATGGTATGGGTGTAACCAGTCCATGTTGGGGGTTGGTGGGGTGTTTGATGACGAAGGTGGCTTTTCACTGCTTTGCAGAGAGGCTTGTGAAAAGCAGTTTGGACCCCTCTGTGCAGCCTTACTGGTCTTTACTGGTGGTGATCCTGAGAATTATTGAGATTATTGACCCTGACAGTCAAACCTTGCACATAAACATGTTTACAAAACAACAACGTTACGGTTTATTTGAAAAAACTTTTTTTTGGGTTTTGGATCAGTGGAGAAGAAACAGTCCTCAGGTTTGTGTGAGGCAGGAGAAACCAGCTCAGAGCTCCAATAATGAACTCATGACGTGTTTGTGAGGTAGCACTGCTTAACAAGAGGCCCAGCATTCCCTGCATGCGCGCACACACACACACACACACACACACACACACACACACACACACACACACACACACACACACACACACACACACACACACACACACACACACACACACACACCTGTAGGACCCCGCTGCTGTCAGTTAGCATGTCTGAGCTCTTCACCGCTCTTCTGGTCCGCACCAGTACACCTCTGAGACCCGGTGGGTCAGGCTGCAGCTTTA